ATGAACTCTTCTTTTTCCCTAGTTTTCTGAAATTCCAAAATGGAGTATCTTTGTGTGAATGCTTTCATCCACCATTTTTATTCAGTAAGTTTTTTTTTTTGTTTTTTTTTTTTTTTTTTTTTTTTTTTTTTTTTTTTTAAGTAATAGCAATTCATTTATCGTTCTGGAAAAATTTCTCAAATACTTTTGTTTTCTACCCTGTTTACTGTTTTCTCTTTTTGTTTCTAGATTTTTTAGAGTTGTCATTCGATTTTAAAAATCCTTTTTGCTTACTTCTTTGCCTCTGCATCTATTTACTTTCTAGGAGACATTTTCTACTTTATTTTCTAACCCTCTTAATGACTTCTGCTCTTATGTTCTCAATTCCAAGGTGTCTTCTCTGTTAATTTCTTATGACATTCTGTTTCCTTTTTATGAATGTAACATTTTCTTACTTCTCCGAAGACATTAGTTAACAGTTTTATTTCACTTTGTTGATTTTCACCCTCACTTGCTCGCTTTTTTTTTTTTTTTTTTTTTTTTTAGTTTACTCCAGGACGTCTTTTTGTAAGGGAGGTTGGTGTTATTTAATTCTGCCTTCTATGGTAGCTTTTCTCAGGGTATTGGTAATCCCTCGACATCTGTTTAACATTAGGTATGAGGAAGCTTGTTGGAGGTTCTAAGAGCTTGGACTGTGGGTCCTGCCTCTCAGGTGGAAGTCACTGTGATGCAGGCTGGGAGATGGGCTGGTCTCTGTAGTCAGCATTAGATACCTATTTGATAAATGAATCCTAAGCCCTACCTTAACACTAATCTGTGCCTGGACCATCAATTCAGACATTATGCTTTATTTCTCCATGGAACACGCCTCCAGATTTCTCCAAGAGAAAAGGACAGCAAAGTGGAGTGCAGGAGAGAATCTGGGAGGTTTAACTGCTTCAGTAGTTTAATAGAGTCTGAATCCATTTTTTATCTTTGGCTGCTGAAAACTTTCATGCCCACCTCCTCTTTCCTCTTCTGCCCCATATTTGAGCAAGCTGGTAAGAAAGCTGGTGCTGCTCCCTGGACACAGCAGAAAGTTCAACCCACGTGGGGGAGTGGATTTTTCCCTCATCCCAACCCCTCCTATGATAAAAACCAAGGCTATTTACTCTCATTCTCCCTTTCAAGACATTCTGAAGCCCATTCCAGACTAGCTTGAGTGGGTGTGGTCTCTCTCCATCTAGAAAGTTCCACGGTGTAATACAATGTGTTCTCACCTCTTGCTGTGTACATGGTGTCATCAGTCAGGACACTCACCTATTAATTGGGAGGGGTCCATCCCACCTGTGTTGGGTGGCTGTAATAAATAGCTTTCCTATGAGGTTTTCATATCTTAGTGTTTTATTATTGTTATTACCAGTTTCAAAGCAGTTCCTATGCCTTTTGAGTACTATCTGGTACAAGTTGGTGGACTTTCACATATTTTCCCAGTATTAACCAGAGATTTGTTTTCTTGGGTCTACTAAGTCAGTTATACTTGCCCATTTTTCTCTAGTTTCCAAATTTTTGCTGATTTTTTTTGGGGGGGCCTCTCCTCTTTTTCTGTTTTATCTATTTCTTAAAAAAAAAATCCTTCCCATGGTGGGGAGTCTGGGACTGGGGGGCAGTGAGGTGGGGATGGTTAAGGGAAGAGAAAGAAGGAAATGAGACCCACTATTTGATAACACAACAGGGTGACTATAGTCAATAACTCAATGTACAATTTTAAATGACTAAAAGAGTCTAATTGGATTGTTTGTTAACACAAAGGATGAATGCTTGATGAGATAGATACCCCATTCTCTATGATGTGCTTATTTCACATTGCATGCCTGTGTCAAAACATCTCATGTATCCCATAAATATGTATACCTACTGTGTATCCACAAAAAATTTAAAAAATTTGAAAAGAAAAATCCCTTCCCTAAATTTTTTTTATTAAGGAGTTATGAAACAAAACTAGAAGCATGTATTTAAGCTCCTGTCTAACCCAGAAATCCTGAGTGGACTCATTTCTTCACACCTTGTCAACAATGGGTACTTTTCCCATTTATTGCCAAGTTTCTGAAATCCATACTGTGTTCTAATTGCTTTGACAACTCAGATTATCCATATTATTGGATTCTGGGTCTAAACTACTTGTTCATATGACTAAAAGCCTAAAGGACAATTTCATGATTTGTGGCAGATTCTTAAATTTAGCCATTTGGTTTACCCTAAATTTCCTTCCTTTTTTTAAGTAGTCCTCTATTGTAATGCAGATGGAAGCATCACAATGTTCTAGGAGGGAGCTGAAATGAAAATGCATTATCTATACATATCTCTACTCCATTTACGTAAGGGATATTGATAGATAATCACTTCATAGGTATCTATTAAAAATAAAAGCCACTTTTCTTTTCTTATTGGTTGCGAAAATTTGGTCCATCTTTTGAACAAATTTAGCAGTGATTTACAATTTTTGGTTAAAAATGACAGACTTGAAATTTCAAAATGCAATCTTTTGTTAGAAAACAATGATTTCATCAAACGGTAACCCTACTTTGTCTTAATAGTTAATTCACAGGTTGGTGAATCTTTTTATTATTAAATATAATTTAAGGTTATTTTCACAGTAAAAGCATACAGATAAAAATTAGCCCCTGCCTCTCATAAATACCAGAGTCCTAGCCTGCCCTCTCAGAGGCAGTGGGCTAGATTAAATTTATTACTATTATGTTTTGAGGAATTACTTATGTAAATCCAAGCATGCATATGACAGTGTGAGCTTTTAAAATATAACAAGAGCATACCATTTTGGCTGTTCCATGCCTTATTTTATTAAATATATATTCTGGAGATATACTATATCAGCACATTTAGATCTTCCTTGTACTTTTTCTTTACTTTTTTTGTGAAAATAGAATACAGAGAAATGCACAAAATATAGCCAAATGAATCAACATAAAACCAAAGCCTATGAGATAACCACCTCCTTTGCTAGGCAATCAAGCATCCCTAGGCTTTCACAAGGCTCCTTCATGTCCACTCCAAGTTGCTACCTTCTATGTCTCCGTCAAAGGCAAATACTTCCTAGCTTCTACAGTAATCCTGTTCTTGCTTTTCTTTAGTGTTATATCTAAGCATGAATCCTGAAAAAGTGTATAGTTAAGTTTTGCCTATTTTCAGAGTGTCAGGTCATTCAAATCATACAGTATGAGTTATTTTGTGCCTGACTTACTCAGTGCTTTCTATTCATCACATCTGTTCTAGGGTTTTTATATGCTCTAAAATTTTCCTTTTTTCTGGGCCTTGTTGCAAATCTGTAATTCTGTTTCCCCTCTACCTCTCTGGAAATTATACATACTATAGTTCTTTCATTTGTGAACCACAAAATTGTGATATATCTCATTGGTTCTTAAAACCTTACATTAGTTGGTATTTTATACTCTTCGTGGGCAATGAAAAGATTCTATATTCCTTTCAGACACTTCACCTTCTTTTATCCCCTTCTAAAATATTAAGCCATTATCAGGTACTTTAATTCTATCTTTAATCTGTATTTGAAATATGAATGTCAGTGTGTTTAATCTGTGTTTAAAACTCATATTTAAAACCCTATTTTTATTAATCTCATTTATTTATTAGAAAGACATTTATTCAGGGTCATGATTAGACTATTACATTTAGAAATAAGCATCATGAGTGCAAAAAACAAAAATAAAACTACCTAAAAACCCTTTGTCAGAATAGTTTAAACTCTCCACACACAGAAACTGAAATAACCTGTTACACAATTCGTCACAAATACAGTTCATTTTTTTGCCCATACACATGAGTATTGTATAAAATGTGTCTTCTTTGTAGCAGCTAAGCCCTGCCACCACTGTGCTTGGCTGAATTCACAAATCTGTTGCAACCTGTACCTCCCCTGTCACTTCTCTGGCTCTCCTCTCCTGTTAAACTTTGCTTCCTGGCAATAATTAAAACCTCCTACTACTATTGCTGCTGGAACCATCATAGCTACCTTGGTTTTATAGTTTGGCGAAGTATTGGCCTCTCCCACCATAGGAACCAGAGTTTCTGCCTCCAAAGTTTCCTCTCTTCATAGGCCCAAAATTTGAAGATTGATTATTGTAGTTGCCACAAATCATTATAGCTTTCTCTACCTTCAAAATTTGTTTCTACCTACCAAATCCATTGTAGCCATGCCCACAGCCACCATATCTACCACCACCATGGCTGCCACCAAAGCCACCACAATCACTGAAGTTTCCTCTACTACCAAAGTTGTCAATCCTACCAAAACTACCTCTATGACCACCACTCACATTTCAAACATCTCAAAAAATTCTCTATCTTGTCTTGTCTCTTTGAACAAAGAAAGTATGATTATTTTAAAGTCTGTATCTAAAAACCCTAACATCTGAAGTATGTGTGAGTGTTATTTTCAGTTATCTGTCTGTTTGATTGTTTTCTTGTACCTGAGTTCCTGGCTTTTTTTCTTTTTTTCTTTTTTCTTTTTTTCTTTTTTTTTTTTTTTTACTGTGTTTGTCAGAAACTGTATTTGCAAAAATGTTGCAGAGACTAGGCATGGTGGCTCACAGTATAATCCTAGCACTTTAGGAAGCTAAAGTGGGCGGATCACCTGAGGTCAAGAATTGGAGACCAGCTTGGCCAACATAGTGAAACTCTATCTCTGCTAAAAACACAAATATTAGCCAGGCGTAGTGGCAGGCACCTGTGGTCCCAGCTACTTGGAAGGCTGAGGCTGAGGTAGGAGAATCACTTGAACCCGGGAGGTGGAGGCTGCAGTAAGCTGAGATCGTGCCACTGCATTCCAGCCAGTGACAGAGTGAGACACTGTCTCCAAAAAAAAAAAAAAAAAAAACACCAACATATAGAAGTAATTTTCAGCTTGGTATAATATCTTCTTCCAAAGGGAATTTATGTTTTTATTTTGCTAGTCATTTGGGGCATTGATATTCTGGGTTCACCTTAATCTAGTTTTATCCACATAGCATGTAGGAGAATATTAACCCTGCAGATTGTGTTGATGATGCGTCTGTGGATTATTCTAAAGCCTAGAACACACCTCCTATGGTAAGTGGGGAGATATACAGTGAGGTTTCAATTTTATCTGTGCAGCTATTTATTTTAAAATTACTGCCTGCCAGGAAACATTTGAATTTTTTTTTTACAAATATTATTAAGGGAATTCTTACAACAGTGATTGAGAGGTGAATATTCTTATCCCTGTTACTAGATGTGGAACTGAGGTGAAGAGGAGTTAGTTAACTTGGACAAGAGTACACACTTTAAATAGACCTGGGTTTTGAATCCAAGTAGTAGGAGATGGTGCTGTTGAGGTGAATTTAGACTGCATACTATATTATTCTGGGAAATGGTCAATGTTGGAATTATGGGGAGGGCAGTTAGGCGTGGCATTTTTTCTCGTCTAATGATTATAAATTTTAAACTGCATTATCTGTGTGCCACTTTGATAGTGCTACTGGGGTATTTAGGAGAAAATTGCAATAGTAGTTGTTATGTAGGAAAGGGGACTCACAGGAAAGATCTCAATTTGTGTTCACTCATTGCTACAGTTCAGAATTGGGAGGAGGCGGAATTGTGAATTAAGTGTGGGGCCTCTAAAGACTCTTTTGCACGGAGAGCAGCAAGTATGAAGAAATTACATCTTAGAATCAGAGTTTGTGCTGGATTCATGCGTGGGATTTGTTTATCGTGTTTCTCTTCACAATGACTGCTCAGGCTGCTTCGGCATGAACAGTTGGCTCAGTACCCAGTGAGTGTTTGATTAGCTAAGTTAGGAAGCAAAAAGCCATACACTATAGAGGAAATTTATCCTGGAATAAATGTAGATCATTTAGTCAAATTGCTATATTCTCAGCATGTTAAGACTTCCCTGGGAGAAAATGCCACAGGAGCTTTCTTAGAAGTAGAAGTAAACAGAACTTACTTTGCAGGGAGCCTGAAAAGCATGACCTAACCTGTGATTGAGCATCAGCCAACATGACCTTGGACGAAAAGATGCCCTAAAAAAAGAAACATCCTGAGTGAATTATGAAACTGATCCTATAGGGGGTTTTAGGAGTCAAAACTCTTGGTTGCAAGTGACAGAAGTCAGATCAGAGGCATCCAGGTGGGGGAGGGGTGGGCAGCACAAATTACTGTCTTTGCCTTGACTACATTGCATATCAGTAAAAATTTGTGCTTGCTGGAGTTGGACAGAGAGCCAAAATGTTTTTAGCAGGTCTAAATATACTTTAAAGATTCTGAACTTAAAGGGGAGTGGGGAATGTATTGGCTCATGATACTGGGAACAGGCATGGCACTAATTCACAACTGACTGGATCAGGTGCAGAGGCTGAAAAATTACCACTGCCACTCTTGTATCACCAACCTGCTTTTGATGTCTGCCCATCTCTTTGTGGGGTTGTTAATTTCTACTGCACTTATACTTCTCCCATGTTCTATGGAAGAGGGACACAGCCATCTTTCACTCTTCCGAGAGTAGTCAGCCCAGGGTCAGGTATTTATGAACAATTGACTGCATAACATATTACTCTAAAAATTGGCAGCTTAAAACACATTTATATCTCAGTTTCCAAGGGACAGGAATCTGGAAGCAGCTTAACTGGGTCATTCTGGCTTAGGGTCCTTAATGGGGTTGCACTTAAGGTATTGGCCAGGGCTTTGGTCATCTGAGGCAGCTGGAGAAATTGTTTACAAACTCATTCATGTGGCTTTTGGTAGAAACATTCAGTTCCTTGCCATATGGGCTCTCCATGGGGCTATTCACACAGCATAGCAACTGACCTCTTCAAGGGTGAGTGATCAGAGAGTGAAAGAAACCAAAATGGAAGCCACCGTGTCTTTTATAACCTCATGTCAGAAGTGGCGTATCACAATTTCTGCTGTATTCTATTGTATTCCTGGTACAGTGTGGGAAAGGACCATATACAAATCTGGATACCAGGAAGTGATCACCAGGGGCTGTGATAGGCAGAACTCTAAGGTGGCCCCCAAGATTCTTGCTGCCAGTGTACACACTGTGTAACTCTCTCCCTTTGAATGTGGGTTGCACCTGTGATTAGATAGTCACTGCTTTGATTAGGTTACCTTTCATAACAAAGGTACAGGAATTTTGCAGATATAATTAGCAATAGCAATAGATTGAGTTAACCACAAAAGAGATAATTTGGGTGGCCCTTACCAAATCCAGTGAGTTCTTTAACAGAAGGTCAGAGACTTAAAGCCGTGGCCTCCTGATGGCCTTGAAGAAGCAAACTGCAATGCTGTGGAATGGTGGGTGTCTCTAGGGGCTGAGGGCCTCGGTGCTACCGCTGCAAGGAACTGATTTCTGCCAACAACCAGTGAGCTTGGAAGGGGATCCCAAGCCTCAGATGAGATTAGAACCCTGGCTGACACCTGGACTGCAGCCTGGTAAAAACCCTGAGTGGAGGACCCAGCTGAGCTGTGCCCAGATGCCTGACCTACAGAGATGGTGCCATTTACCTGCTAAACTTAGGGCATTTTGTTATTCAGCATAGAAAATATATACAGTACCTGCTTGTGAAAGATAAGGATTAGGTGAGGGTCTTCTCTGTCCATCTTTCCTCAAATGGTGAATTATGGGGAGGTTCCCCGAGGAAATAAAGTGCTGTTAGAGGGGAAAGGGGGCTGCAAAGGCTGCTAGGCAAACAGTCTACAGCTGCCCGTTTATTAGGGTGTTTCAAACCTGGGCACCCCAGCTGCTTCAAGAATATGAGTGATCAAGCAAAACAGGGCTCTCCACTGCCATCTAGAACCCTGTTCTGTAAATGTGGTCTGTGTAGAACCAATGATGGAATCTCTGGAGTGTTTGTTAAAATGCGGGCTCCTCGGTCTCGTTTCAGATATATCGGCTCAATCTCTATGGGGATTTATATATATATATTTTATCATTTCATAGTTTTTATATTTTGAAAATTTTTCTAAATCAGAAAAAAAATTTGAAGGGAGCAGAAGTGTGAGCATTTGTTTGCCTTTCACTGACGTTCATAAATTGTTAATATACCCCATTTTCTTATATATATATTTACACATATAATTTTATTGCAGAACCGTCTGAAAGTAAATTACAGTAATCATAACGTTTTACCCCTAAACACTTTAGTACATATATCCTACAATTAAAAACTACCTCATATAATCAGATGCCCTTCTCATACTATGGAAATGAAACACCAATGTATTAGATAAAATACAGTGAAAATTTTTCAATAGGCCTCAAAATTCCCTTTGGAGAATTGCTTCTCAAAATGTGCTCCTTGGATTAGCAGCATAGCATCACCGTGTTTTAATAAGAACCCAGTGAGTGACAAGCACATTGATTCGAGAAGCCCTGTAGCAAGTTTTTGATTGAAGATCTAATTAAGGATTGTATTACATTTGGCTATCAGTGTTTTCTTGACTCTAACATCTCTCAGCTAGAATAGTCCAATTTTTCTCCTATTCTTCCTCTGCTGCCTTCCTACTCCCCTCATTCTACCTGGATGAAAACAATTGTGAAATTTTAAAACACTCTCATGCTTTTGTAACTAACCACATAAAGTCGCGTAAGTGCCTAATGACTGATACAAGCAAAATGGAGAGGAATCTCGTGGCAAGCGAGGTCACTGAAAGTTGGCTGAGATTTCATGAAAGATGTGGCATTTCTGTGAATCTTAAAATTGTAGACCAAATTAGTTTCTCTTGACTAGCTAGTCCAGAAAACAAAGGACATTCACTTTGAAAGGTAAGCTGGACCAACTGAGGAATTTGGTTCAAAATGAAGGCTACTTAACTGGGCACAATTACCTCCAAGGCAGTAGGTCTAGTTAGTTCTAATTTTTTAAGTGTATTTTATGTAATTCTTTTGCAAAAAGGCATTATTGTAAAATTCTGACTTGTATTATAAATTTCATGTGAGAATTTTTTGCAATACTAAAAATCCAGCATTAAAAACACTTCATAAATAATGTACATTTGCATATCATGGTTTTCTTTTTCTCTTATCATTGGACACTTAGTTGCTTCCAAATCTTCACTGCAATAAGAAGCCTTGTTCATATAATTATTGCATCTCTGATTGTTATAACATAGTCCTAACAGTAGGGTTGCTAAGACAAAGCTTACAATAGACTTAAACTGGGGTGTGTGCCCAACTCATGTGGATTCATTTGCAGGCTCTGGTAGTGCCATCATTCTCAGTCTGACCATTCTGAGCCAGTAATAGAACATCTGGATTCAAATTGAGTGAAAAAAATAAACCCTAGAAACCTGACGTACAAACAGGGAACCCTCAGGTGAGGACCTGGTACAAAGATGTCAGGCTTCTAAGCTGGCCTTTGATGTTGCTTCTCCTGTTTCTGTCCTTCCTGAAGCTGGTTTGTGCAGCCCTCACTTAGATTATATGAGAAAATTTAGACTCCGTCCCTTAAAAATCCATTGGTTGGGCTGAGCGTTGTGGCTCATGCCTGTAATCCCAGCACTTTGGGAGGCCGAGGCAGGTGGATCATGAGGTCAGGAGATCGAGACCATCCCGGCCAACATGGTGAAACCCCATCTCTACTGAAAATACAAAAATTAGCTGGATGAGGAGGCATCGCCTATAGTCCCAGCTACACAGGAGAATTGCTTGAACCCAGGAGGCAGAGCCAAGAGAGCACCGCTGCACTCCAGCCTGGGCAACAGAGCGAGACTCCATCTCAACAAAACAAAAAAACATGGTTTGCTTGTTATTCTGGGTTCCTTTCTGTTGCCAACAAAAAAAAAAAACAAATAATATTGATGGCGGATTGTATATGATAGACACCTATACAAAGGTAGTATTTAGAATTAGTCACTGGGGTAAAAGGCAGTAAGGCTCCATTCTGTATTCCGGTGCAGAAATGGTAAGTGGTGGCTAAACAGGTAGTCAATCTATCACCCTCAGGCAACTGGGCATCTCTGTGGAAGTGAAACTCTAGGTATCTGGATAGCCGATGCCAAAATAAAGAGAATGGAGGCTGATGAAGCACCCTGACTTAACAAATTATGTAGCTGGTTCTGGTCCAGAG